GATCATAGTGTTATTCTTCTCTAGAACTACTAAAACAGTTTTCTTGTTTTCCCTGACACTAATAACGATTCCATGTCGAGATCATCATCACATTCACTTAAGTGAGGGTAACAGAACTAGATGGCATACTTGGTGGGTTCGTCGGAAACCGCGTCAAAGTTTATCTGCGGCTGCATTTAATTCTTGGTTCACGAAATCCGTACCACCTGTGTACGTCATGTAACACAACGTTGTGTGCACCCGAAACAATCGACTCCCTCTAATACATATAAAATGTACTTTCGGAATTCCATTTAACAATCATTAAGTTTGTGGTCAGGCGAATCGAGTTTAGTCTTTTCGCTTGTTTAGAGCTGTTTTGAACCCCAAAATCTGTACCTGAACCACTACGCTAAAGGAGCCTTAAGATGGATATAAACTGAAAATTTTGAAAGCGTCAATGCTTCAGCAGTCCATTGATTTGCAAACCCTAGATGCTTTGATCAGTCCAAAACGCCTCAAGTTCTCCCGTTGGTTTAGTGGGGTTCTAAGAGCTAAACGGTGTCACAACAAAAGCAACGATCTACGATAGCTGGCTATCACTTTTTTAAATCGGTCCGTTTCAAAATTGTGTTATACAACAGATCCGTACGTGCTTGGGCATCCATTCGAATCCAGTAAAGTGAGGCCCTAGACAGGTGACTCGTGGTTTTGAAAATTGTGCAGCTGGTTGTAAAAATTATCTCCAAATGTGCATCAGCATGCTATTATTCTGACAGGTTTGATGTTCTTTAGAAATTTTAATCACTGCGCGTTCAGAATAGCGAAAAACGCAGCTTGTTTCTAACTTTGATGTCTTTTTCAAAATGACAAAAGATAGATGAAAAGGGCCGGCTAATCCCTATTTGGTTTTCAAACTACAGATAATTATAATGCGCAACATATGCAAATATGTAGTATGCGCCTCCTTTTCAAGTCACCACATTACCCGAAGTTGCAGCTGTTTGGGCTGTTACAATTGTTATTTGCCTTCGCTTAACAATATCTATATTTTGATAAAAAGTCGAGACAAGCAGTTATCACGAGGTCAGTTTCAGAGATTAAACCATGATCTAGATAATCATACAGTTCGACTCCGTTTGGTACACAGTCGTTGTTCTTAATGGATATTTCGGGTAATAAACAAAATCACATACTTGGGGTAATATGGCTTACACGAAGAGCATACAGTGTTTGGCTCGTTCACTTAGTTTTAATCACATCTAAAGCAGACAAACGACAATCGATTACTAGCCGTTTTCCGCCAAAGTTTAGAATGCCAAACAAAGCTCCAGCGTAGAAGCATTAGCCGGACGTAAGCGCAAAACGATGTAGAGTAGTAAAACATGGTTGAATATCTGAATATTTAGAAACCGTAGGTTTTGCGCTCATGACTAGCCACTAAAGTACTGTATTATTACCGCACCAGTGCTTCACTTGGCAAGAGGTACCCAATGTTCTATCTTCACTCATAAAGTTAAGCCGTTGCTCGCTTTGAAGCACGAATCTTTTGGTGCGGCATCATGCAGGCAGCAGACTGTACAGGAATTCAGTTTTCCCGTATTTCTTTGGTTCCAGTCTACCCACTAGCACTGCAGTTTATTCTAACATGATGCAGCAGCTGTGTGAGTTACGTAGGAATCTTACTGCTCTGACGCTCTCTACTATACTACTGGGGCTACCGCTAAGAGGTGAGAGATCAAGTATCCTGAGAAGAACTGCTCACAGGGTAACAATAGCAAGTGACGTACGCTCTCTAGTATACTACTGAGGCTCAAGTGAATTTCATATGAATCTGTCGTTTATGATATTCTTCAGATAAAATTTGTCGCATAAAGTTTGTCTCATGTGTTTTTATCAGGCGATGTTCAAAATATTGCGATAAACCGCCTAGACGTAACACGCGACTCATAGTGTTTCTGAAGGCTCTTAGACTGCCCAAGACGGGTTCAGCTCATCTTAGGGCTTATGAAGAAGCTACGACTTCCCAGCTTTCGGCGGCTTTATATTAAACTCAGACCCACTTTTAAGCAAATCACTAAAGAAATTCATTTTCAGGATCACAGTAGCTTTTCTCCACTCCCAGCTCATTTATTGGCACTACAGATTACCGGGCAATCCGAAATCCCACAAAAGAACTTCTGTCCGAAAAATCATTATTTTTTCGGCCTACAAAAAGGAGTCCCACTCATTGTTGAATAGTATCCAGACACAGTCCATTTGTTCTGCTCGACGGACCCATATTACTTATGTGCAGTCTTATTTACCGAAACAATCCTTGCAAACTATGAAGAATTCCTTTGGTTATTTATAGTCCTGCCATATATGTGCATTTTTGCAGATCCACAGTTAGTGAAAAGCCCAGAGAACGCGGAGAATTTAGAGAAGTTTAACCAATAAATATTATTTACGGCACAGTTAATAGGTCGTATGTTGTACTTATTTAGTCCGCTCTAAAGAGAGTGCCTAAAATGTTCCCTACTGAAAACTGGTCTATCCAGGAAGGAGCAATATGAACGGGATTTAAAAAACAGCTGTGGAGAACTGACCTGAAAAAGATAAAACTCGGTTCTCTGTTGTGCAACCCTTATTCTGTGTAGAGTGTGCAACATCTACAATTTCCACATGGTCTTATAACTGAAATCCAGCGCACTTTTTGAATGTAAGTAATACGACTTTGGCCACGATAATCGACTATGGCAGGGCATCGAAATACAGGGAGATGATTCTTTGAACGCGAGCGATGAAGTTTACCGTGGGAAAATCTAATTAATGTAAAGAATTGAAATGGCTTCAATCTGGTCATATTCAGCGGCGAAAAAAAGATACCAAGTTACTCTTAGCGTTATTAAAAGGCCCAAACTGTTGACATCAGCTAGTCAGTAGTGAACTCTTGTTTTCCAGTTGTGGATCATATGCACAGTCTAGTTCATACAAATATACATAACAATTTGTGGTTTGCCGTTTAAAAGAAAAACCTACTGAATGTGCAATTAAAGCCGTCCAAAAAAAGAACTTCTGTAGTCTTGAGCCTGTAGAGGCAACCGATGACATTTTATCTCTTTTGGGAGAGAGTTCATCCAAGATATAAACCGGAATGTACCGCGTGGTCCTACCTGGAAGTGGTTCCTTAAGGTTGTACACAATATAAAACGAGGTCCCTTCTAAAGTATACTAGTCCTCCAGATTGGTCGGTTTAGTATAAATCAACAGTAGAACGTGACATATGCTTAGTGTTTTAACAGTACCTGGAAGATAACCACGATTTCTTGGGTTTTCTGCAGACTAGGAATTGCTGAACTTATCCAGAGACCCATAAAAAACCAGCTGTGGTACCAATCTTGCGAACTAAAAAATTACACTTCAAAGGGGATGCAGAACTTTGATGCAGAGAATAAAGACATTGATCTCAAAGAATCAAGACTGCCACGCAGACTCAATATCTGGTTATTAATTTTGCGAAACCAGATTCAATGCACACCTTATCAATTTTCTTTCTGTCCAGTTTGGTTCACCTACCTGCACCACAACAAGCGCAATTCAGTCTACGTCATCGCAACATGATAGCTAGCGTAACGGAACTTCGTCTTAGCAATACTGTGAAGGTCATTTCGCACTTGAGATCAAATGTTAACTACCCTTGTCGAATACATGTTTACTCATCATAGATACCATCAAATGGTGGTTATAACTGATAAGCCTACGACTGATTTGAATCCACTATTGTTCATTAAATGTATTTGAGAGCATCAAGGAAATTTCCGAATATGTATAATTTTTGTTGAGGAGTCTGTCGTTCAGCTACCGTTATAACTGATAAGCCTACGACTGATTTGGGTCCACTATTGTTCATTAAATATATTTGAGGGCATCAAGGAAATTTCCGAATATGTACAATTTTTGTTGAGGAGTCTGTCCTTCAGCTACTTTTTGGAAAAACCTGGTCCAATGTCATCAGGCTGTGAAAATTCCGCGTTTGTTTCAACGATCACAACTTGAAAAATCAATTCCTATTTATCTTCCGGAAGACCATAGTAATCTCCTTAAAAGAGAGAATCAAGACCTGCTGAAGTGGATGGCGTACCTGAAGAGTACAATTCTCGATCTGTGAGGTGACCAAGTCTGGTTCAAGGGCATATGTAAAAGAGAACAATAGGCAAACTAATTCGTTCCCGTGAAGGACAGTGGTAATCAGGATTACAAACGATCGAAGAGTTTCATGGTTAGTTGAGTAATGCAAGATTGCTTATCCTAAGCACGGCCCTCAAATGGATGAAAGAAACGCGCAAAATCTCGATGCTTCCTAGGAACTGCACGTGAAAAACTGTTTCGCTTGCCATGCACAAAGAGGGAAATGGCTCATAACGTACCGCAGTTTACTGTCTGTATTTTTAGGTCAAAGGAATGATACATTGGTAAAGCTTCGAGGATACAGTTATTAATGTCTGTCGACAATTCATCTCCAAGATCACCCGTATACTGATTCATCCAGATTGTTCTTCGCGACGTTCATCACAATGCGAGCGCCTCCATCTTTCGTAGACTGTCTTGAGCTGCATTAACAAGAACCTGAGGTCATGAACGAGAAAAGTGAATTACTTTGTAATATGGGGTTGAAAACATGATAGACAAAAATACTAAACTATGAGATTTTCTAACAGGTTTTGTCAAAAAGACATAATATTTAAAGGGAAGCGTGGTCCATAAAAATAATCGATTTTTTGTTATTTTGTCAGTTGAAATCAGTTCAAGCAATGAAATCTATCGGTAAAATTAATCGAGAAGTCACCCCCAACAAGGAATGGAAATATAACTGAACACTACTGGGACCAACATTTAATAGATTTAACGAAACATGAATAATTCCCTAAAACAGGAAAACTGCTTGAACGGTATACTTTGAACAATCAATTTAACGTCAGTTTTCTTCAACGCAACCAACCCGTAATTTTCAAGACAACAGCAGGGAATTCAGCACATACCTTGTGCTCACGAAAACGTGTTGAAATTTCCTTAAGCATCGATTTAATAAACTTTTTTCCACTCATTCGTACGACGACAATATCGTCTGAAGCAAACGGCATTGAAATTCGACGTTCAATATCCGGCAAATTTCGGTGGAATTCGTACTTATACAATCCAATAACATCTGAGGAACTAGCGTTATTTTCCTTAAGCAGATCGTGAAAAACAGATAAAATCTAGCATTCTGCTCTACACAAAAGTTATAAGTCTGAACTTCATTCGAAACTAATTAGGCCCACATTCACATTTGTACAAGTGGCTTTTTAGACCAGTGTCAGTTGAGTACGTAAGAATCGTTGTTGATTGTAAAAAAACTGTGCTTATTTTTCCACCTTCATAGCAGTGTAATACGATTAAATGCTAACCGAGCTCACGTGCATTCTAAAAAGATGCTAGTAACATGATTTGTGGTTCTCATAGAAGTAGCATCCCAGAAGAACTATTAATATTCCGAAGCCGTCAAAATCGAAAATGCGCTAGTGACGTGAGTTAGTGAAGGAGATGGGTGAAAACTCATTTCTAATTAACTCAGACGGTAGATTTATATTACCCACTGGTTTACTTTATACAGTAATCCTTCCTCCTAGGGTAAAATGTAAACAAGAGGGATGGTGAATTATCAAGGTGCTAACAGTGACGCTGGCTGGTAAAGTTGACGGCATTTGGCAGCATATTCCAGTGCTAATTTCTTCACGATAGTATTCTAAAATCAAAGAGCTCTGAATCATTGGCAATTGCCTAAGAATAAGACCCTCAGGAACAGTGACGTTATATGGCCGTTGTATGGCGTCAGTTCACATGTGAGCAGCAAATGATTAAGAATGAGCAAACAGAGCAAAATTGTTCAACGCCCCTCATAAAATTAGAGCATCAATCACATCATATTCTTACTCAGTGACTGAATATACCGATGAGTCTGCACGTGCAGAACAGTCAGTTTGCGTCGATTTCATTTTAAGGAAGCGTTCCCCAGGATGGATCATTATCTCCCTCAACCAAGTAGAGTCCATTCTAAATAGCAGTCGTTTGTTTTAGCGAAATTAAAAATTTATTCGCAGGCACTTATGCAGTCAGTTCTGATAAAAGTACTCATGGCCCCATATTCACTGAAATAGTATCCATGAGTGGCCATCTGGCGCAAGGATGATCTCCTACGTGAAAAACAAGTCCGAATCGTCATCAAGAATGGAGACTTCATGGTCTAACTCGCACACTGGACGGGGCCTTGCAGGATACAGACATCAGCAGGCGCCAGTGATATTGGTGTTGTTGGCTTCTATTCAGAAAGGCCAAATAAACAGTAAATTGGCTACTTCTTTTACTCTTTTCGCATATTTTTAATTTGAGGCTTTTGAGACTATTTAAAAAGTTAATATTCTTATCTGAAGAGCTCCAATCTGCAGTAAAGATCACCGAAAAGTTGATAAACGTGGTTGAAAAAGGGTTGTCTCCAAGTTAGTTTTGCTTCTCAAATAAAAAAGCAAGTTTTTTGTGATCAAGGCCTTGACACCATATCAAACTGAAGAAATAATTTTACTTGTTTCAAAAAGCACCTTGTAGTGCAATGCTTAAGCGGCCTGAAATCTGAAGGGATTCGAGTAATAATAAATGTACGCGAATTAAACTACCGTTATTAGGGTGAAAACAGTACCATTAGGCACAACCTCAGGCAGAAAAGATCAGATCGTGAAAAGAGTCTACAATAACCCAGAAATTTGCAGCTTGAAACAAGACTGCTGGCGAAAACCTCAGTCTGCCTTCGAGTAGGTATCCGAGTCCATTGCATGACGCCCAAATTCATACAAATACAATGAGTTGACAAACTGATGGTAAACACTACCTTTTGTTTAACAAGCTCAGATGTTACTCTCAAGGTTGACAAGGTGATACAGTGTTTCATCGTTTGCAGTTGTGGTCTATTAGCACTGCTCTTAAAGTAGCAGGAAAGCGCACTGCTATCTTCACCTTTATGTTGGAAAAAAGACATTAAACATCCGTTTTTCTCCCCCTGTCGTCGCCAGAAACCTTCCGCCCAATGTCTGCAAGGTTGTCGAACAAAGTAGGTAAGCCTCACTCAGAAACTCCCCTTTCAACAAAGCCACAAATTTTAATGGACACAGTGTCTACACGAAGGTTGTAAAAATTGTGACCGCTCATGTGACTTGTGCGCCGTCCCATCGACGGTGGCAAACCTCATTGATCGGAATACCAATGGACAACCAACCGATGTATACTGGTAGATTATAGCTACCAAAAGATAAATTCAGCAGTAAGTTAGCACATAGTAATTAACTGATACAGTTTTGCAACTCACAAACTCCTCAAAGAAGCGTAATAATTTTCCGGTTTTCCATCAAAGCTAAGATTTTGAAGGTAGAATGGAGATATTCTAACTACAGTGAACGTTTTGATGCACTTGAATACGGACAAACTGGTTCACAAAGCCACATATATCTGGGGTTGTTGATATTCTAACTGTACGTCGCAGAGAATCAGCACTCACTGATGTCTTTGCCACTTTGGAAGTGCACGTTCCAAGCGAGACCCTGACAAAATAAAACTTTCGGTAAACTTAACTGACGAATCCCACATGACCTATCAGTATCAGATCTCAAGACGTCCGGATTGGCCTTTTGAGAAATTGCGCTTAGGAAACGAACGGTGACTAAACGATATAAAACATCCGCAACGGTTGGGTATAATTCTTCGATGGAAAGTGGAGACTGTCTCCAAAATATACGGGTATGCAGCGCATAACGAAGTCCACTACGTTCAGTATCATATCAGATAAGTCCAAAATTAGCCACAGAGAATGCATTAGTAGGGTCTTGCAGTGCCCAAAGATAACGAAATGGCCTACTTGAACTCGGACCCATCTGACTAAAGTGATGGAGGATTTTAACGATAATAACTTAAGTCTGGTTGGTTTGGATTATCATGCTGTTGAAGCAAATCCGTAAATGTTATCAAGTTGTAATCAGCTGGATCACAAGGTTCACTAGGAAATTCTCTAGGCCATGTACGTTTTCAGTATTAAAAACGAACATTTGGATGGACTCAACGGTTTCGCCCAAACAAACGTCATCATCGTTGTACATGATTGAAGACTGTGCAAGTGATGACTACTATTCTATGTCAAAAGCCCTCTTTTCGTCAGTGTCTATCCAGATTGCCTAAATGAGTATCTAGACGTGTAGGATATATTGTGGTAGGCTGGAACTAAGTTACTTCCTCATCCTCTTTCATTCTTTTCTCCGCAATAAGGATTACAAATAGATTATGGTTTTACGGCGGCGAAGCACAAGTGTTTAACACTGATGGCAGGCTGACGATGATAATAATGACGTACCTGGGAGCTTAAATGAAAGACATGGCAAACACTCGGCCCATCTGGCCTGACGTGGCAACCGATCGTTAGAAAAGCAGGCCTATTGGTCAGATAGCGAATTATGGTAAAACTCGTACATACTACTAGTAACTTTTTCGCTCTTTTGGGGGAAATCTAAATGGTCATATTGCAAGCGACGTTCAATTTCGAGTACTCTTTTAGGCACAGTGACAATCGATGCGGTATGAACATTAGTGTAGCTTCATACAGCACTGCGACAGTAAATTGCGATCACCAATGCTAGCTTTGTCTGGAGCTCGTTTTACTGAATAATGCTTCGGTCGTTCTGTTTGTTAAGTGGACGTTCAATTGTTTGGTGCTTAACCTATGGGCAACTAGTAAGGCCGAAAAAGGTGTGTTTTGATGAAAAATATTTATGGTACCACGGCAGTAGAGGCCAACTGTGGATGAAATAGCTAATCGTATCGACATTCCGTTGGAATGATGTGAAATTACGCCATTATGTTCGAAAGATTCACGTAGATACCTTCTTTAAATCTTGTAAATGACCACTGTTAGCTCATCACGGAGAATACCACCTGGCACACACCATAACAGAAAACTGTGAAGTTTTCCAGGATTGTCAGTGTTTTCCTTGCTGCACAAGCTGGTTTTTAAATTGCAGGCTGGAGTAGCCATTAATTTGGATGTTTTATAATTTATGGGTGTTGACGAATAAGTATTTCAGGCATATGTGCTGGTCCTTTAATCGAAAGTACTGCATCGCACTGGGCAATAGAAACAAGTACTTTTCCTTGAAAGGTATCAGCCGCTCAGTTTGCTATATGGATCTATACGCATCTAAAACAGTAACTAGTTCAAACGAAGTTCAAAAGGAACCACAAATGAACCATCAAATGAACCAAACTAGAAGAACTAGACCCTAGGTTGGACCCAGACGTATGTGGGTTTCCCCACAAACCCAACCACTCTAACACACTAAAATCCCTCGGCCGACACCCAACAGAGATTTAGCTTGACTTAGCTGATTGGTTCTCCTTCCATCTTAAATCTCCACCAACCTCGGAACCTAGTCACTTGGCCTGACGAAGCTTTTGTGTCAAAAGCGAAACGTTGCCAAGCAATGAATCTACCGATTGTCACCAGACGTTTTCGAAAACGATGACTACCCAGTCGGTTCCAAGTATTTTTCACGTGATTGAAAAGTAGGAGCATTTTGCTGTCCCTCGCCTATACGGTAGGTAGATGGTAATTTTAGGAAAGGCTACTCGCTACAAGCAAATCTAAGACAGCTTCCCGAAATTCTCTGGTTTTTAATGCTTCATCGATTACTTCGCTTGATATCACCTATCAACATCTGGAATGCGATCAACGTAGACAGACCGATGGATTGTGAATTTGCCACGAAGCATTGGTAATTGGCGTTATTTAAACATCGAGAGAAATTCGAGTTTCTGGTGGTGTGCGTGATTTGAAAAAGCGCTAAATTTCTATAGCTGTTGAAGTTTTGACTGAAAAGTATTTACTACTTTTCCTAGTTTTCTAGGGTTATACGCATAATATGGGTAAATATCAGACTCAGTTTCTGTAAACCGTGAAATAAGTTTTACTGCTTTCTGTTTCAAACAGCTAATCACAGATTACATTCAAAAACGGTAGAGTGTATTATAGTACAGTCGTCCTGCTTCTTTTACCACCTCTGTTTCCTGCTCTCAAAGTAGTTCATGCGGAATCAAGAGTTGTTCCTTCCCGGTTATTAAGCATGCATCCGTGTT